CGGGGCGGCCGGGACCCAAAGCAGGACGACCACACACCTCCCTGCCACGCCTCCCCCTCGACGCATTTGGAACCAAAGTCTAAACCGCTAGCAGCGCCCGCGCCCTTTCTCTGCCTCTCACCCCGCTTCGCGCTCTGGACAGATGGACGCAGGCCCTGTCCAGCCCCCGGCGCGCTCGTCCCGGTCCCCACAGGCGGCCCCAGCCTACCCGATCGCTGGAACCAAGCCAGGCCAGGCGGGCGGCCGAAAGGGCCGAGTGCGGCCTGGGGCAAGCGGACGCTCCGAGGAACTGGACTGTTTTTTTCACACATCGTTGCCCCAGCGGTGGGAAGGAAAGGCAGATGTAAATGATGTATTGGTTTACAGGGTATATTTTTGATACCTTCAATGAATTAATTCAGATGTTTTACGCAAGGAAGGACTTACCCAGTGTTATTGCTGCTGTGCTTTCGATCTAGCTTCCCGTTCGAGAGGCGTCTGCAGGCCGACCCGCCGGCCACCCCGTCGTCCCGGGGCCCGGGGCGGGGCGCAGCTAGCGAGCCCCTGCAGCCTCCCTCCCTGCCTTCCTCGGGCAGAATGACTCTGACGCATATTCCGTGGCTGCCATCTGCCGAGGCGGTGGTGTCTGTCATTTACACACGTCGTTCTAATTAAAAAGCAGATTATACTCGAGCTACGGAGGCTTCTTCTCTCCCGCAGACTGGGCAGCCAGGGTGCAGGCCGCCGGGGTCTGCAGAGGGCCGAGGGCCACCCTGCAGGGCAGGGACACATCCCTGACTCTCCAGGGACGGGGCCCTGGGGCAAGCGAATCTTCAGAACCCCAGGAAGGACGTGGCCATGAGGGCAGCAAACAGTCACACCTGCGGTGAGGATGCAGGGCGTTCCTCCTCGGGAGGGTGCCAGGCATTCGTGCCTGCAGCAAGAACATCCAGCGTCTACACCCACGCTGAGGGCTTGGGGTGTTCACACCCACGGAGAGCAGGCTGGACAGTCCGACCCCTGATGAAGGCGTGAGGTCTTCACACCCATGGGGAGGTGTCGGGCAGTCACACCTGTGGTGAGGATATAACCACACTCATGGCGAGGGTGTCGCGTATTCACACCGTGAGCGTGTTGGCTGTTCACACCTACAGCCGGGGTGTCAAGCAGTCCCATCTGGAGGGGGTGTCCGGTATTCACACCCGTGGTGCAGGTGTCGGCTGTTCACTCCCGCGGCGAGAGTCGGGCCGTCCAGGCCGGCGTGGCATCTCCAGGATGGCCGTCGGTGCCTGGCTGCGGCGGGTCTGATGTCACCCTGGCCCCAGTCGCGGCTGGCCTGGAGGCAGGCGGAAGGTGGCCGCCTCTGCCCGCGTGGGGGGAAGCAGCCGCCCGCCTGGCCGTGTGGGGCGGGGCCCTCACGCCCGGGGCGGAGCAGAGCTGCAGAAGGTGCCCAGTGGCGCTGCTGTCCCTTGGAGCCGGGGCCTGGCCCCA